CTAGCTACCTAGCTACCTAGCTTCCTGCCTAGCTTCGTTTTTGATTTTCATTGGTTCATACATACACAATAGACTCTATGTTGCATTCTGTGGTTATGTATCAAAATCAGTACACCAGAAAAGTCATAGCTATTTAGGCGGCCTGAGTCCGTGGCGACCAACAGTACCACAGCGCGAAGAACAGGTTTTAGATTGAAAGCGGCGGGTGGCTAAAGGAGTATGTTTGAAGCGACAACGGCAAGAGCAGTCATTATGGTCAACACAACTATAGCGTTACAAGAAACAAAGCAGTCGTGTCATTCCATTATACGAATCAGCACGGTAAAACCAAACGGCAAGTATCCCAGGACTTGCTCCGCACATCTGTGAGGTGGAGCAGGTGTGAAGCTTAAAGTGTTTTCGGCCTGATGGGTTTACGGGATTACAGCGTAGGGTTTTGGGTTCATGGGTGTCGCGGGCTGAGAAAGCCACCGGCTACTAAGGACCATCCGGGGATTGTGGCGTAACTTTAGGCTGCAGTGAGGTCCAGGGGGCCAAGCTTCTGTAGTACTAGCACCTCGCATGGCATCTGTGTATACGGTAGTCATGTCATCTTACCTTATCAGTATCAGCATCCAGTTGTGTTGTCATGCCTTTGTCGTTGTCTGTGAGTTTTCCATGCACCCCTGTCAGTTGCTGATTTTGATCACAAGCACCATGCTGGTATGTGCTCATCGGTCAGTGACGGTCCCGCCAGCCCGGACCATCACCACCACCGAGATTTGCTGAAAGTAATCGTTTAAGCCTGAGTCGCAGACATTCAACGACCATCGAAAGTCATCCCGAAAGTCTTCTGCTAGTTGGATGCTGCCTTCAACCTTGCGTCTCAGAGCATTGCGAGCAGCCGAGCTTGTAATCCCACATCAGCCCTGAACCCCAAACCCGAGACCCNNCCCCCCCCCCCCCCAAATCGTAAACCGTAAACCCTGAGCGGCATGCCGCAGTTTCATGGTGCCAGGAAATATTCGTGGCCTTGCGCCGAAATTGATATGCCAGAACGGCGAGGAGAATCCACCGGTTGGAGCTTCGATGCCAAGTTGCAGGCAATTCCGGTGCAGATTGCAGGCTGTTCGAAGGCATTGGGGCTGTTTCAGGTTTCGCGTCTGTGGTTTGGGGCTCAGTCCGTTGGGGTGAGGGGCTGTTGCTTAGATGGTCATACAAGAAATCTTGTTATCAAGAGCAGTTTCTCTGAATTGTCTAGTTTCATGGACAATATTGGCATTCTCAGTTTGGATATTGATAACAAGGGTGCCAACAACAATCGCAATAGCACGAGTAGGCCCTTCCTGGGCACGTGAGATGATTAGACTTGTGGAACCGGGGCATTGAGGTCTTGATCATCTGTTTTTGCCGTAGAGCTGCCATGCCTCATTTTGGGGTGTGGTTGGTTCCTAATGTGGCTTTTAAGTCACTCCAATCCTTTGCACTCTTCGGTTTCGCCGGGTTCGTCGGGCTCCACCAAAGGGTCTTGGACTTAGAGACTTTGGCTTTAGAAAAGTTCCAGTCGTGCTGCTGCTACAATGCCATGGGGTGCGACTCGTCTTCAAGCCAGTCCTGCATGTTTTCCCATTCCGAAATCGTGATCTTTTCGCAAGGGCCTGGTGCCAATGGGGCATTTTGGACTCCGGACATCGGGGTCATGTAGGGTTTTTAATAATTGTCAATACTAGAACATACTAGAACTATAGAATAATAAACCCCCCCAAACCCAATCTAATAATTAAGGACTCTATATCAGTCTTGGGAGCCTCTGGGATGCTCCTTGAGGAGTTCTTGGGGATGTAGGGCTTGGACTGCCGTGGGTGCTCTTTCACTGCTTGGGGTCTATACTGACATCGTCCTGTCGCTTTGTTAACTTTAGCAATCTGTATCATTTGACTGCTGCGCAGAATCCCTCGACGTGCCGGATGTAGGCAAAGGCGTCGCCGTCTTCCTCCACGGCGGGGACGGACTGCGCAGCGTCGACTACCCACTCGAGTTCAGGTGAATGCAGCGTTGCCGATGGAAAGGCTTAAGGTTGAGGGCTGATAGGATGAAGAAACCCCTGAATTCGATTCCAGGGCATTGGGCCTGCAAGGGTTCGGGATGATGAGAATACGGCACAGCTTGTTCTGCGTAACTGAGAGCCCACGCGAGCAATTCTGGCGGGGCAAGATAATGGGCTACTTTGCAGCCTTCTGGAACTCATCATTCTTGCTAGCATTGCTGCTCACTTTTCTTCTTATCACGACTGTACTTGCTGAGTTACTATGAGATGTCATTAGTCTTCTGCCATGAAATGTCGCTTCGGCGTGTAGGACGCAGGCAGTACTTCCCAGTGTCACGATGCACCCGTTTGGGGCTTTTTCGCAGCAATCGTCGGCTCTCGAAAGGCACAAGATTCAGTACCACGAAATCCGTGTTGACATCACAGCCTAAGGCCAACTACTCTGGCCGAGAACCCTTAACCTGCAATCGAAACCTCTGCAGGTCGAAGGCCCCGAAACCTATCGGAGCTTGTCTGCCTCAGTTACTGGAGACGGAGACTCGCACGAAAAGACGGCTATGCAGTAAAGTCTCAGGTTCTGCAGTAAGCAGACCCTATACTCAAGAAACAAAAGGAAGAGTGGCTGCAACGATGCGCGTTTTTAGCACGCACAGCGACAACTAGAAGCATGGGAACCCATACGAAGACACAGACGACCGAGGCCACGGCAGTGAGAACAAGATCAGCCGTGAAGCCCGAAACCTCGCATTTAGGCCGTTTCTGAGCCGTCGTTGAAAACTGTCCCACCTTAGCGATTGTGAGTGTAGGTTTGAAGGCGGCAGACCCCATCGAGTTACATCTTCAATCGCCAAGGTTTGAGGCTTCAGGGCCTAAGTAGAGTCTATAGTGGAAGGTTTTTCAGGCTAGTTTATTTTCGGCGTGAGTTTGAAGGTGCAATGTCTTGACGCTGATGCCTTGTATGCCTTCCAATCATTCTACGTCACATGGTAGTAACCTGTAATGCGTTGACGTTGCCTTGCATTGTGGTGCATGAAATCACCAAGGCAACCCGTGCATCTTCTTTGCAAGCTCTGCGGGGTGCCATAAATCTGCGGGCCCCTAGGCAGAAAGGTTCAGGACTCCAACTCAAGACGTTCTTTTGTCTTTGCGCATGCGGGGAAGGGGGTCAAGCCCAAGCCTTCAATCTTTGCCAAGTTCTTGGTCTAGGGCCTTGCGTTCAAAGGTTTGGGATTTGAGGTACATTCTAGTCGTTTTATTGTGTGAAAATGGGAAGGATTCAGGCTTCAGGATTTTTTTGGTGTGACGGTCATATCTTGGGTTGTCTCTTTACGTGTCGGATTTGTCGTGTAGAGATTCGGGGCTTGCAGATGTTGGGCGAACAGGAGCAGCCCTGAGCCCCACAGTTGAGTTCTTGCAGCCTGCGGGTCTGCATGCGCTATCGTCAGCGCCCAACACTATCGTCCGCCCTAAAGATCAAAAGACCTGAACCTTAAGACGAATGTCGAAGTTCTGAGACAAGATCGTTAAGTAAGAGTGTTTCATGGGTTGAAGTTCTCTTCGGAGTCTTGCGCTCTTGAGTGCGATTCGTGGCGATGCTTCGTAGCTAAAACAAAGACGTGTATGCTTGTCTGGGGTGTGGAGCAGTAGCCTTGTGGCTGGGTGCCCGAACCCCTAAACCCCAAACCGTGGCACGCGCGCAGGGCTTCTTTTGTGGCTTTTCTCAGGGGCCTGAATAATTACGAACATTATTCCAGGGAAGGTGAAACGTGGGTCTCCAGTGCCAGAACCTGTGGGCCGTCTCTCGGCTGCGTCCAATTCCTGCGCATCTGCAGATTGTCTGTGCATATAACGTGCGCGGACGTGTTGGAAGCCTCGGGAGAGGGAAGAGATTGGGTCATCTTCAGAGGCGGGCGCCTGGAAGCGCCAAAAGCAATGTTGGCCCTGGCAGAGGGTTGCAGTCCGTGGAAGTCACGCCACTGGCCTTGGTGAAGACGGGAGGTCTGGTGGCACGTGGCCGCCACAACGCGTGGCCTGCGGCTCGAGAGTCCACACAGAAGAGAACATGGGGTTTAGGGTTTAGGGTTTAGGGTTTAGGCTATTCCAGAGGATTCGTAACGGCTGGGTGGGTTTGGGGGTTCAGGCCCGGTGACACCCCAACCAAGCCAAGCAACCCTAAGCCCTTGAGCCTCAAAGTCGTGTATACGTAGCTACATAGCTCCATACACAGATAAATACGTACAGAAATACCTTCATCCATGTGTGCGCGACATACATACCTACATACAGATATGCATACATTAATTAGTACATATGAGAAGCAGGCAGAACGACAAACACACACACACACACAAAACCTCAACCAGCTCAAAGTTCTTTGGGAATCAGAGGCTCATTCTCGGGTAGTACCTCCAAGCTGCATTCAACCAGCCCCAGGGCCTCTTTTCTCTACCCTGATCCTAAACCCCGTCGACCGAAAACGATCAACGCATCCAGGTTGTACGTTTTGCCACATCCATCCAGCAAGGAAGGACGGCTTTTTGGCTATCGCGGGATGGGTGCAGGAGTTTGCTTTCCTGGAGCGATTTTAGGTTCCTGAGAGCAAAAGAACCTCAAATTTGTTTCATGGATTCGTCTGCGAGGTTTGGATTGTCTTCGGGTAGGGGCTCAGCAGTTTGGAGGATTTTTTTGGAGGCCCTGGGTGGACGGCGAGGCTTTGCTTCGGTGGCCTTGCTTCCGGCATAGATGCAGAAACCACGGCGAGGAGTGACAATACTCCAAACTAGACCATGTGAGTACAGGATGAAATGCCAGACTCCCAACCCCTGATCCGTATTATTCAGGCTCCTACAACCGATTCTTGGAGGGTAGCGCTCTGGATGTCCAGGATCTCATTCGGGGAGGCTGTTGGTGGTTCAGCATAGTGTTGCAAGGACTTGCATCTACAGCATTTAGGCTTGGGGTCTAGCAGGGTTGAGGGCTTATGTGGGTCGCGCTGTTGATGTTGGATCTTGTGGTGTGAGGACTGCTTTCAGGCCACTGGCACCAGGTAAATCCTCAACCAAGCCCAGGTCCGTCAAGACGTGCGCGAAAGCAAACTCGCGACAAATACAAGAGCCAGGCTTGCGGGGGCGGGGGGGGGGGGCCTGAATTCGCAGACATTGCTTCGCACAGGATTGAGGGTTCAGGGTTCAGGGTATCGCAAGCGGAGTTTTCGAGGAAATGCCGCAAGCGTTTTTGGTTTCGAGTTTTTGATTCTACAGTTTAGACATATCCGGAGGAGTGATTGTAATCAGTAGCACATTAGCAGTACTTTAGAAGACATGATCAGTGCGATAGTAGCCTGCATTCTGTACAGTTACAGTGGAGTAGTCATAGCAGGCCCCTGTTTTCGGAGTAGATCTGATGCCCTGAACCCGTCACCCCACCGAACCCCAAAACGCTGAAACCTTGACTCGGAAAAGCCGAGCACTGAAGACCCAGCGCCCAGAACCTCAAGCCAGAGTCTAAACCCTGCAAACCAGAAGTCCCAAACCCTGAAATAATAGAATCAAAAGCTCGGAACCCCCTGCACCCCTGCACCTGCCTTGCACATGCACGTTGAGAGGTGATCCAGCTGTTGGCGGGAAATCGAGAGGAGCGGGAGGCATTCTGCCATTTTTGTTTTCGTCATTTCTTCGGGCCGCAGGAAACTTTAGGGTTCTGGGGCTTTTAGGCTGGAGTCTGAGTTTGGATGCCTGACTTTGTGCGGAAAGTATTGGCTTCTGATTGGTTGGATCATTATCTTACTCTTGCCGGGGTGTCTTCTCCCCGCCCAGCATGCGGCCTGAATCGTACTTTTCCACCAAGCTCACGTGAGAATTTGGGGATTAGGATCCAGGATCGCCCAACGTAGGCCGTGATGGACTTTCATCCCTGCTAGTATACTTGCCTTATAATTACCTATACTATTTTGGGGGGTTCCTTATTACAAATATAGTAATATACACCCCAAAACTTATTCCAATTATTAAGGCCCCTAAATTCGTCAGTTAGTCTTTCAAGAGAGCTCTCAGAACCAACAAGAGCTCCGAGCTTCAGGCTCCCAAGGGGGGACGAAGTGTTGGTGTTTCATTTTTTTTTTTTAGGGTTTGCCGTGGTTCCCACATCTGAAAGGTAAGATCACCTGAGACCGTAAACCCCAGCGCTACAACCTAAACTGGACATGCAGGCTCAGCAAGAGGAGCTTCAGAAGCTCGCGAACGGCAATTGGTTTGTGCGCTCATACGCATTAGCCTGCCTGAATGGCCATGAAAACGCAGCTCGACTTGGGTTAAGCGTTCTGGGATTTCGCTGTTTAGGGCAGGGAGCGGGTCGGGGATTTCGGCACCCGGGTTCAGTGTTTGAGAGGTCAGGATTCTGGCTTTATATTCAGAGCAGTTAGAAGCAGTGGGGAGACTTCCGACACGGCATCAGACAGACACGGTTCATAAGCGGCAAAGCCTTACATCTTGCCATCCGGGTAAGTTTTGAATCATGAGCATTTCTGGTGGTGACCCTGAGCAGGTACCACTAGTTTAGAACGGCACGCCGAAACCTCCGTCCATGACATGACAGGGGGGAGGGTGGGGAGTCCTGTCCAACGAAGCGTCCCCACCCTCTCCAGGCCAACGTACCTGCAATTGTCCTGCACCTGGGTCCTGACAAGCAGCTGGCAGGGCCCTCATCTTCATTTTCATTTTCATCTTCATCTCATCTCGTGCCGTGTGGTTCATGAGGGTCTCACACAGCGAGGGCAGGACCCATACCCTCACGGATCATCTCATCTCCACTTGTATGCAATCCTAGCAGCATACTTCATCTCATCTTCGTTATCATCATCATCATCATCATCATCATCATCACCATCACCATCATCATCATGTGCAGGCCCCGCTGGGTTCACGTAGTACTTGGAACTGGCATCAGTATGGCAGATAGATGTTGGAACGACACGTATGGCAAAACAAGCCCATCCTACCTGCTGTGTTGTTGCCGCTGCGGTTGTGATTATGCTTGTGGTTGTGGTGGTTGTTGTTGTCGTTGGTGGCGGTGGTGGTTGTTGTTTTCATTGGCGGAGGTGGCGGTGGTGGTGGTGGTGGTGGTGGTGGTGGCGGTTCTTCGTCCTGCTGCTGCTGTGGAGGATTTCGATTGACAAGACAGCAATGTGCATCACAACCGTGATGATAGTTTTGTTATTGTCATCATCATCATCATCACCCTCTATCTACCCCGAGTCGTGAATCTCTCGGAATTCTCAAGGCTTTGACTTCTGTCCCGGGCTCTGTCTCTTTCCAATAGGTTGGCGACGCCGGCATCAATGGAATCTCTGAACAGGATCGCGCCTTGCTGCAAGAAGTCTAGACAGCTGCACAGTGATTGACTCCTCCGGTAGCTTGGAGCAGACGTCGATGTCTTGGTGGTTAATGTAGCCTGCTGATTCATAACATCCTTTGTTTAACGAAGGGGATGCGGTCCCTAACCGAAATCCTCTCTTAAGTATATCTACGAGTGCTGTTTCCTTACATAAGAAGTCATAGTCCTTTACATTATCCCTGCGAAAATGATTAGCACTCATACCCATACTCGGTGCCCTAGCTCGAACATGCTACACCGTTAACTCCTTGACCGTCTCACTGTCCTCCTTGAAGCTACAATCTCAAGCTTTACAGACCCTGAATCCCCACCTCGCGCCACCCGGAACCACCCGAATGCTGCTCGCCGAGCTGAGCCGCATCGGGCCGAGCTTGCTGCCACCCACGCCACTTGTGGTGTCGGCAGGCCTCGCATCATTTCCTCATCCTCTTGCTTGCCTCGACGGCAGCTCCTCTGCGCGTTTGCACTTGCACACCATGTGTTCGACAATGTCGGCCTGCATCACGGCCCGGGTGCTCCCCCGAGCGATGCCTTTGAGCACCCCATCGCGCGAGACGCAACATCACCTCGCTCAATATGTAACACCCATTCACCGGGTCAGAGCAGTGATGTGCAAGAGCCTTTGGGTGTGAGAGACCTGAAACCCCGAATCAGTGGCGCATCTCAAGCCGGATTTGCGACACCTGTGCCGTCTTGCAGTTCACAGGTGCTTGCAGTACCATGTTTTTCAATGTCTTCAACCGTGCATTCCGAATGCAGCCTAAGCCCCAACCCTGAACCTCAGTGAAGCATCCGGAATCCCGAACCCATTCAGGTGAGGGAGGGTGAGCTATCCAGTTGTACCCACCTTGAACACAAAGCCCCAAGGACGCGGGATTCTCGAACCAGGGCTCGTCCAACGCTTCGCAGAATGAGTGCAAATGTGAACTTGGAGAAAAAGGCTGTTTTGTTAAGGTCAAAGACCTTCGCTGAAAGCTTCTAGAATGTAGAGAGTCTAGAGATCACCCCCTGCTTGCTTGAGATTGAGCTCGCAGGAACCTAGGAGCCCCAATAGTGACGGACTTACAGTGTTCTCTCTCTCTCTCTCTGTGGACAGACTGTTGTATTCATGTATTATGGATGATAGCCCTAGTATTCAACTCCTTGCAAGTAGTAGCAGTAGTAGTAGTAGTAGTAGTAGTAGTAGTAGCAGTAGCAGTAGCAGTAGCAGCAGCAGTGGTAGTAGTCGTAGTCGTAGTCGTAGTCGTGGTAGTAGTAGCAGTAGTAGCAGTAGTAGTAGCAGCAGCAGTAGCAGTAGCAGCAGCACCAGCAGCACCAGCAGCAGCACCAGCAGCAGCAGCAGCAGCAGCAGCAGCAGCAGCAGCAGCAGCAGCAGGAGGAGAAGTAGCCCATGAGCTTGAGATCCATCACCCGACGTTGTCCTGTTAGGGTTTTAGGGCAAGCGGACGGCATGGGCGTGGTTTACCATTGTGTCCTGCGTCTTGTAAATCGCAGCGACATCTTCAGGTTTTGTAAAACCAACTTCCCAACCCTAACCTGTCGACTGCGACTCCTGAGCTCGTTCGTTGGGCCTTGCAGGCTGTGGTGTGCTGTTCGGAATACATGCAGATGTGCTCAGAAGACCTCCAAGTGGCTCGTTTTTGGGGTTGCTGGTTTCCTTAACCAACTTCCGCTGTCTCAGTGCGATCGCTGCATTGTATTCCTCATCATCTCATCTCGTACTGAGCAAGCTGGAAAAGACACTGAACGACCCGTTGTCGTGGTTCGCGGTGGTCATCGAGATCGTCGTGGCCGTCGTTCTGCTTGGGTTGGTGTCCGTTCTTTGTCGTTTTCTCGGTATTCACCTCGAAGCTATTGTTCAGGACCAAACTTGTGATTCGAGTTTTAAGTCTAAGGCGTTAAGGGGGTTGAGAGGCTTACCGCCTCAGGATCCACAGCCGCACGGCGTGGGCTGTGGAGAGTGCAGAGTTTACAGGAGTTGGGGTCTAGAGCCGCTTGGTTGCGTCTCGGCATGCTTCCATCCAGTCAACTAGTGGGTGGCTTTTTGCTGCATCTATCGCACCCCCGCGAAGCAGGAGGCAGACCTGCACCGTCCCAAAATTGCAGTCCGTAATTCTGACAGCTTGAACCCTGAACTTCAAGCCCTGAACCAGCTGAGAAGTTTGTGAACACGGCATAGCAACAACGCCACTCTTGCAGCAACAGCAACGCTTGGAATGGTAGAAGCTGGCGACAGCAGTGCCAGCTTTGCGTGGTGTCGGTGCATTATGGCCAAAAATACATGGCAGGAATGTGCATAAGCACAATAAGGCCATCACCGGCCTAGAGCCCAAAGCCAAAGACTCGGTGTAGAGTGAGGATCAGTGAAGACGCGCAGGTAGATTTCAACCGCTAGGTGTTTGTGCTGGTTACGTGAGATTCAGAGTCTACAGCAGAAAAGGTTTTCAGACATCATTCAGAGGCTGTGTCGGAGGGGAAGAGACGTTTACTCACCAATGTTGTTTCCTTCCAGCGCCGTCTAGAGCAAGTTTATTGCCGGGGATCAGTTGTTACCCCGCGGCGATCTTTTTGATGGTGCATGCCAGTCCTTCTCAGAACAACATCGAATCAAGCTTTGCACTTCAACAGCTGGCGGTAAGCGCCAAACTGCCCATCCAATGCTAGTGTGGGTTTGGTCTTCCAGGTTTGGCAGGTTTGTTCGGGAAAGCAGTGGGTAACGAGTGATGTTGGTATGACGGTGGTGGTGACGATGATGGTCTGTGACGATCGTGGTAGTTGCTATCACAAGCACAATCCATATCCGTGACTGAAAGCCTGCCACCTTTGCCGATAACGATTTTGTTGTGTGTTTCTAGCTTTTTGTTTCCTTGCCCGGGGTGTCAGTTTCATTTGTGGTGTTTTCGTCTTGGCTTGCACTTGTCTATAACGCGACAACTCAGGGCGGACATCCTCAGCAGGGCAGGTCTCTTAGGAGACCTTCGCGAGGTTGCTGGAGCTTTTGGGTCATCCCTTACGTAGTAGGCGGCACCCCCAAGGCCAGGGTTCTCACAATTGTTTGGGTGAAAGCACAGCCAAGAATCAGGACTATATAGCCCAGGATCTGCCATTCTACCGTCGGTTTTCCTTCACGAAGGACCTGCACGGCGTTGAAAGAAAGGTTTCATCCTTCATCCAAAAGCCTGTGCGGCAGTCGCACATTCGGAGGAGTCAAAAGTAATCCAGGGGCTCCATGTGATATCATGACCATTATCAAAGCCATACGATTATGCTCGTTCGTCACCAAAATCAAACGTCGTCATCATCGCATCATCGTCATGATAGACATATTCGCCACCGCCAGTGTCAGTGGAGGCATCATCATCTTCATCATCATCACCACCACCGGGTCAGTGGCGGCATCATCATCACCTTTAATTATCAATATTATTATTACCATCATCCCCACCACGACCATCGTCATCCTCATCTCCATCCTCATCCTCATCCTCCAAGCATCTCGGCCCAAGTCTTT